TTTTTTTTTTTTTTTTGTTTTTTTATTTTTTATGTATTACACCCAAAAAACTTCTACTGCATACGCAGCTGTACGTACACCCCAATCTTTTTTTCTTTTCTTTTATTTTATTTTATTTCATTTTATTTTGTTTTGTTTTATTTTGTTTTATTTTATGGTTTTGTTTTTATGTTTTTATTTGTATTTGTTTTTGTGTTTTTGTTTTTTATATATTACACCCAAAAAACTCCTCCTGCACACCCAGCTGTACGTACACCCCATTTCATTTATTTTTTATTTTTTTTATTTTTTATTTGTTTTTTGTCTATATGTTTGTATTTTTATTTGGATTTGTGTTTTTATTTTTATATTTATTTTTGTTTTTATTTTTATTTTTTATTTGTATTTATATTTGTATTTATATTTGTATTTATATTTGTATTTATGTGTATATTTATCTATATTTTTATTTATTTATTTTTATATTATCTATTTATATATATATGGGGATGCTGCTGCTGGTGATGGTGGTGGGGGGGTGGGGTTGCTGCTGCTGTTACTGTTGCTGCTGCTGCTGCTGTTGCCGCTGCTGCTGCTGCTGGTCTTGCTGCTCTTCTCCGTGCTACGGCAGCAGAGCCAGAGCCTGCTGCTGCTGCTGTTGCTGCTTCTGCTGCTGCTGCTGGTGCTGCTGCATGCATTGGGGTTTTGTTTGTGTTTGCTGCTGCGCTGCAGCAAGAAGGGTCTCCTCATCCGCAAGCCGCTACCTGTACGTCTGCCCTTGCTGCTGCTGCTGCTGCTGCTGCTGCTCTTGCTGCTGCTGCTGCTGCTGCTGTTGTTGCTGCTGCTGCGGTTGTTGCTGCTGCTGTGGGTGCTGCTTGCGTGTTGTTGCTGCTCCTCCTATTGTTGCTGCTGCTGCTCTTGCTGCTGCTGCTGCTGCTGCTGCTGCTGCTGCAGAGGTATATGTGTGTGTGCGTGTGCTGCTAGCAGAAGCAACTAAAGCAGCAGCTGCATGCGCCCCTGGATTTGCTGCTGCAGCGGCTGCAGCGGTCTGAGGTGTACGTACACCGCAGCAGCGTGGGGGGGGAGCTGCTGAGCGGGCTGCAGCAGATAGATGCCTTGCTGCAGGTAAACCCTAAACCCTAAACCCTAAACCCTAGACAATAGATGGAGGAGCTCATACACACCACAA